CCTGGGGAGGAATAATCCCATGCACCAGTACAGGCTGGGGACTGACCTGTTGGAAAGTAGCTCTGCCGAGAAGGACCTGGGAGTGCTGGTGGACAACAAGTTAAACATGAGCCAGCAGTGTGCCCTTGTGGCCAAGAAGGCCAATGGGATCCTAGGGTGCATTAGGCAGAGTGTTGCCAGCAGGTCGAGGGAGGTGATCCTGCCCCTCTATTCAGCCCTGGTGAGGCCTCACCTGGAGTACTGTGTCCAGTTCTGGGCTCCCCAGTCCAAGAGAGACATGGCACTCCTGGAGAGAGTCCAGCGGAGGGCTACCAAGATGATTAGAGGGCTGGAGCATCTCTCCTATGAAGAAAGACTGCAAGAGCTGGGCCTGTTCAGCCTGGAGAAGAGAAGATTGAGAGGGGATCTCATCAACGTGTACAAGTATCTGAAGGGGGAGTGTCAAGAGGATGAGGCCAGTCTCTTCTCCGTGGTGCCAAGTGACAGGACAAGAGGCAACGGGCAGAAACTGAACCACCTAAACCTGAGAAAAAACTTCTTCACTGTGAGGGTGACAGAGCATTGGAACAGGTTGCCCAGAGAGGTGGTGGAGTCTCCTTCGCTGGAGATATTCAAAAGCCGTCTGGATGTGATCCTGGGCAATATGCTCTAGGTGACCCTGCTTGAACAGGGAGGTTGGACTAGATGATCTCCAGAGGTCCCTTCCAACCTAAACGATTCTGTGATTCTGTGATTCTGTGATTTCTAACCTCACTGTCAGTATCTCATAAGAAAAGGATTAGTTTGTCTCTGCCTATTAATCTTCAAATGGTGGAACGCTCTCCTTTAACGTATTTATTTCTTCTTCTTTGTGCTGTGGTTTGAGGTGAATGTCAGAAGTAGATCTATCATTCAGGCACTGGAGGGAAGCTTTGATTTGAAAGCTGAAAAAGACCCCTTCTATCTTATCCTCATCTTTTCTGATCTCATCTCATTCCAGACTCGATTCTTTAATTTTTCTTCCGGTAAATCCCTTCAGGGGTTCAGACCTGTGCAGCACGGTATGTTTTAGGAAACCAGAACACCATGAATCCAGTGTAATTGTACCTCAAAGGAATTCCTCAGCAACTTCTGCAGAAGCCTTGATTCCTCTAGCAGACGTCTGCGAGCAGCAGCATTCTCCAGCAGTTTCTCTTTCCTGAGTTGAAGACAAACGTGTAAAGTGAAAACCACAAAATGGATTAGTTAGGATATGGTTTTTCAGATTTCATCTCTAAAAGCCGCATGATCTAACCCTTCATTTCTAAGAGACAGTTGTTCATAACATGCAGTCTTCCACGATTCAGACTGCCAGAGATGATGCTCAGGACACTTTAGGAAGGACTATTTGCAGAAGGTTATGTCTAAAGTATGCACGTGTTCTGTATATGTGATACCTGCCTCTAAGAATCACCGTCAGTGCCTTTCAGGCGCAATGGAACATAAGCTCAGCATGTTTCTGTATGGACACTGACATTGTCTGATAAACCAAAGCAACATCACCCTCTCATCTTTCTCCCAAATATGGTCCTTCAGCACTTTATTCAAGTTAATGCAAGAATGAGATAGTTGATCAGATTAATAAATTTGTATATTTTGTTTCATATAAAGGATCTCCAAGGATGTGGTAAATTTTACATATTGCTTTTGCCCTACCATAGCACTGAATGTAACTGCCTCTTCTATCAGCATTTGTTTAAGAGGAACAATATGGAACATGCTAGAAGAAACAAAATAATTCATATGAAAAGGCAAGATCTGATCAGAAAGAACTGCAAATGCCCTAATGGAGAACTTGAGCAGGGCTTTACGGTCAATTCCCTTAGAGCAGGGAAAAAGTAGTAGAGTAGCAAGTGACCTTTCTTGATGATATTTAATGACAATGAAGTATTTAATGGCACAGCAGGCCTCTGTGGGTTTTTTGAAGCACTGTCTCTAAAGCCAGGCCAGAATATAGAATTATAGGAAAATTGCCTTTTCCTGAACCCTGCCATCCACTTAACTGTACTTTGGAAACTTCCTAATGAAAGATCAACTAAACTCAAGCCAATTTGGCAGGACCACAGCACGAAGCGCAGTGCTAAGTAAACGCAAACAAGTTTATGGTTCTCTTAAAACAGGTGAAGACTTTAGAGCACATGAGGAGAGGCTCATTGCAAAAGAAATGGCTGACATGGGAAGGGGTTGACTTTACCTCCTCAGAATGGCCTGGCATCTGTTGGTGATGTTGTTTGAGTCATAGTGCTTGTTTTGCGTTAGCTGCTGAGCAAATGAAGCCATCTCATCAATTTTCTCCATCTGAGCTTCCAGGGCTTTCTCAAACTGCATGTGTTTCCGCTGTAGGCTCTCCACACTAGACACTGAGTCCTGGCCGGAATTCAACAAAGGGAAGCTGCTTTTAGTTGGAATTATTCCATCTACCACACTCATAATCCAGAAGCTAACTGGCATTTACCCACATTTGTAAGCCATCAAGAACGTTTACTGGCCTTTGAAATTTATTGGCACTGAACTTGAGATTTGGGGCCTAAACAATATTCTATGCATGGTCTGAGGCCATTGATTTAGAGTTAGAACTGAACAAACTGCTGGATGCTCAGCTTCTTCTGCTGACTGTTGTGCTACAAACAGCATCTCACGCTTCTCAGGAGACAAAGCTGATCTCTTCCTAATCATAAATCAGTCTTGTGACAGATGCTATTTTGGAAGCAAATATGGGATGCCAAAATGAGATCAGGTTAAATGAAAAAATATATCACAGAAAGAGATTAAAACTAGAGCCTCAGTTTCAACCCATGGAATTTGGAAGAGCTCAGATCCAGATCTGAACTTGAGGGCTGCAGCCTGCCATTACAGTTAATCTCAAGAGAAACATGGAATCTGACTTCTTGTAATGTTTGTCTCTCCAAAAATTAATGACTCAGAGCTCTCTTTTCAGCAACCCCTTTGCACTTTTAATTTCAGAATCAGAGGTGTCAAAATATTACTTTCATAAATTCTGTTTTCCTGCTGTTCTAGAGAGAGCTGTAAAGCTCATGACGAAGCTTATCCTCTCAAAAGTTTCATATCAAATGGGTTGGAAAAACATCTAAACAGCTGGATGTTTACATGAGCCACTGGAATAGAAAGTACTCATAGAGCATGTTCTGTGCATTGCTGAACTAAAAATGCGTGGAAAATGTGTGTCTCTCAAGTCTCTTGTACTTCAGTGGAGGGACTGTGAATACATACCTCCAGGCTGAAAGTTACTGAAACAGACACCAGTCACTAGCATTAGATATTTTTTCACACCATGTGTACCAACTATGTCAACACTGCACTCAGAGATGCAGTTGTAGTTCCTGCAGAGACAGCGGGGGTGAGATTTAAGACCGCTTGTGTGCTACCTATACAAGGTGCAGTGTAAGCTAACCATCAGAGTGTGTATCCAGCATCCTGCATGGCTTGTGCAGCCTGTGCATCAGGCTACGCTTCAAGTTTTCGCAGTGTTACTGGTACCTTAGGTAGCTAATTTTAAGCTACACTGGACATGTTAGCAGTGACAGCAGTGCTGACTTGCACGCTGCTGGTAAGCTTACTTGGGTCAGCTATGAGCAGTTAGAGATGCAGTCTCTGTTTCCCACTGTAACAGGAGTAGTTGGAATGTTTCGCTACACTTGGGGCCGAGAAACCTGTCCTGTCTGTGTAAAGAATCGAGGAAAGAAATCTGATCCTAAACTGTCAACACGGCAGAGCAGTAACTTTGGAGGGTGAAGGATCGCAGGAAGGTTCAGAGCACATCATCATACTTCACAGCTCCCTGCCCTCCAGACTGACTGCTGGGAATATTGTCATTTCTCGGAGTACCTACCCCTAAGTCCTCGTTGGCTAGGAAAGCCTCCTTGCTGCTGAGCCAGCTCTCAGTCTGTTCCACAAAGCCATAGAATTTCTGCATGGGGAGAAAAAGCAGACATAAACGTGCGGTAACGTAGAAGCAATCCTGACTCGGGCAGAGTATGCTGAAAAATACTTAACTAACTTTCTGGGCTAGTGTAAAAATTACTTGGATAGCACTGGGTGACAATAAGCATTAGATACTGCAATAGCTATATACGTAACTATAAATATTGTAGCTTTCTCCTTTACAGATATGACTATTTCTTTTCACCTCAGGCATAGGGTGCAATACAAGTACTTGTAGCATGTTTGCTAATAATGTAGACAGATTTCTATACCCTAATTCTTAAAACTATGAGTCGTACTTTTACACTGGTGCTGTGTAAAGTACTGGCCAATGAAAGAGATGGTAATGTTGCCTGAAATAAGTAGAATGTAATAGAGAAAGAAGCATGACAGCAGCGCTTACCATATGGTTTAAGCTCTTATATATATGAATCTTTTTAGATGAGTCTAGTAGCACCAGCTGTTATTTAAGGTACGTGACACTCCCCATTATAAGACCTCTGTTTCAGTTATTTCTAACTTTTGGCATATTTCTAACATTTGGGCAGAAATTTTGTAAATGGGATGATTGTCTCAGGCAAGTATTTCTGGAAAACTTCAGTGAAAACTGTTCTTATGTTAGAAGAAAGCCAGGGAAAAATATTTTATTTTGTCCATGATACATTTTTCTTCAGATCATTTCCTTAAAATATAGGCCTGTCTCCATGTTTTGGGGGGGAGGGTTTGGAATTTGGTAGGGCAGTGGCTTTCCATTTCAAGGATGTGCCTTTTGCCAGCTGCATGAGGGTTTGCTTGAATTTTGCCAAGTTCTATAGCCTTTGAAAGACATAAGAGCGCATATTCCACACAAGCTTCTTCAGTTTGTAAAGATACAATTTCTAGAGGTCTTGCCATCATTGAACATACTCAGCCCTCACTATGCCTTCTGGAAACCAGCGAAACATGTGCTAAGTGCTCAGTATTATTAGCACTTCTTTCATTATACCATCCTCACTTGATGGCAATTTCATCTTTTACATCTGCTGTCTATACTGAGAAAAGTTACCAGTAGGATGCGCATTCTCCATTGAATGCTTTTTCACTCACCTGTAAATCTTGGGCCTCAAATAATTTTAAATATTGCTCCTGCCATGCTTGGATCAATTCAGACCAGGCTTGCTGTAGTCTGGAGAGGGACTGGTGAATCTCAGGGGTTGCATAGTGGCCAGAACTGGCAAGTTTCTGACCATAGCTACTGAGAGAGTTGAATCTTTCCACTCGTGCTTCAATCTCCTCCTAAAATATATTAGTAAGGCTGTTGTCAAAGGTTTATGGAATGCCAGCTATTCAGGATACAGGCCTTAAGGGGAAGAATACGGACATTAACTTTCCAACACTAATACTGGTATGGAAAAATCATTCCTCTTTGAGCTATGTTGATCTATGAAAGAGCTATGCTTGAGCTATGAAAGAGTATAAAGTTGCCTGAGAAAATAAACGTGAACAATAAATGACTTCATTGCTCCAGGAACAACTGGTCTCCTACAAATCAAAACTGAGATTCAGTTAGAAACAGAATGGAAAATGATTAGATTAAATTAACACGGTTTTGAACATCCGTAATACTGTATTCCCCATCTTCCCACATGTAAGTGGTTCTTATAAAATGAAAGGTGCCTAGAATTTTTCCTCTCCTGCCAAATAAATTGATATTAGATTATTGCATTAAAGACACCACTTTATTTCTTGGTGTTAAAGTGAAATACACTTAACTTTCTCCTCTGGTCTGAGGAAAAGATTGAGCTATGTCTGCATATTGAAACCCTGAGGTAAAAAAATTACAAGCAACTGTGAATCCTGCAAATTGAATGTGGAATTCCGAATGTAAACCATTTGGAAATAAAAATAACTGTGCACTGAAATAATAATGTACATTAACTTGTAAACCATCTCAAAGCTATGTCATGAACTACTAAATGTTAAAAATTAGCACTACTGCTTTTAGGGTTTATTCTTTATTTGGGTTGGCCAATCTTAGCTAACACATCTGTAAGAAGATAGCCACTTTGGTTTTTATTCAGATTAGCACCTTGTGTTTAATTCTAGTCTCTCCTAAGGACTTTAGTTTGAGCCACTAACCTGAATGAAAAATAATCCATCTTGTCTGGCCTATAATTTTAGTTTAGTGAACATACTGCAAAGGAACCCATTCCCTGGATTCCTTCTTCTCTGTGTGACTGTCTCCTTAGATCTATTTGTGTTCCTCTGCTAACAGATATTAAAGACCTAGATCTTGCTGCTTTTAGAACTGGGGTACAACAGTGGTTTGTGGCATTTCTATTATAGCAAAGAATTATTAGAGTTGTTGACTAAGTCTGTGACATGAAAGAGCATTCTTAAAACAGAGGACTGAAAGAGGAGGGGATATCAGGTACTAGGTATTAAATTCAGGTCCAGAATAATAACAAACCATTTGCAATAGTAATGGGACCCACACAGCACTGGAATTTCACCCTAGATATTATTAATAATTCTGTGAACGTGCCTTTTAGGAAAGGTAATATAACTGCAAATTAAAAATAATACGGTAGGATGAAGAGTGTGAGGCTAGGTAGAAAGCAAAATGGTAATATAGGTCTTTTTTCTGAAGCTGATTAACAATATCACTCCTTTTAGAAAATCCATCAAAAATATTAGCCAAATTAGCCACAAAAAGAATGTGTGGTAATTTGTAATGGGACATGAAGTGTTTCAGCAATGAATGTATAGTACTACCCAATGGCAATTTAGTGTTCTATGTGAAATAAGTTGCTGTTTTTATTTTCCTCCCAAGCAAATGGAGTCAAACGGCAAAAGCTAGCCCAAAACTAGCATTGACTAGCATGCTTTTCGGCAATCTGAGCAAACAGATCAATGTTAAGTGTGTTTTGAGGCAGAACTGTTTTTTTACCTGCAGAGTTGGACAGAAGCACAGGTAAGAAGTAATGCAGTTTTCTGGGACTTTTTGCAGAGGCATGAACTGCCAAACAGCCCATGGGATACATTTCTGTCAATAGCCAGGTGACTTCTGTTCCTAGTATGCTGCTGAAAGCAGTCTGCTCACCACATTATTGACAGGTGCATGCAGGAAGGTCCTGCTGCGTCTGCAGCAAGTAATTCCCATGGGAAAGTCCACCAGGATGTTCAATTGGGAGCAACGATGATACTTGCCTTTCTCCCCTGATGCTCTTCGATCATGCTTTCCGCTTCATTTGGGCTTTTAGGAAGCCCCGCCGCTTCCATTAAGCCTCTGATGTTTTGGGTCCAATCTAGCATCTCCTTCACCTCAAAATTAAACTTCTGCAACTGATATGAGGCTGCCAGCTTCTCTTTCCTGCCACACAATGTGCAGTTTAGCATTAGCCAACACAAATTTACCCAGCTTCCTTTCCCTCCCAATTTCCTGAGGAAGGTGTCCTTGGAGAAGCTAAATGGCATAAGTGAATTTGAGCCCGTTAGCTTTCCTTTACAGCTCCCTACAGTCGTCACGTTTAAATCAAAACCACAAGAGAGATAGGCTGTGTTGGAGGCAACGTGCTTAGCTTATTCTCTGTATCCGTTCATTAGGACGAGAATGGTAAAACCTTCACAGTTGTTGCCTCTAGCAGCTATTCCAGCTCAGGTCTAAGCCTTTGCTGTTTTGGAAAAACCCTAGAAAAAAATCTTCTGTAACAATCTAAAAATAAGTCTTGCACATAGGGCTCATGACAGATTTCATCTGACAGTCTGGAAGCATTTTAGTAACATTATTTAGTGGAATAAGCTAAAAATTAATTGGACTGTTTTTTCCTGAAATCACATCTGTGGAAATTTTGTTGTACCAAGTCATCCCTGTTCAAACGCAGATGTCTTAGCTGCCCGTGTAAGATTTTGTAAAGGATCCTCAAAGAATTTGGGAGAGATTTGCGACCCCAGGCAGCAGCCTTGCTCATGATGAGAGATATTCAGACCGCTAGAAGTCTTTACCTTTGTTTGGCCTGTCCCTGGAGTTGTAGCCAGTTGTTTTTCATCTCATGTTGCTTCATAGTTAGTTTGTCATTTATGGATGGATTCCTTGTGGAAAGGTGGAAAGATTCCAATTCCAATGGCTGGGAAGAGATTTATAGAAGGGTGAATTTATGCCAAATGTTTATATTCCTTCTTGAGTTTGCCTTTAAGGACAAGTAGTTCCTTTCAAGATCCCAGCCTTCCAAATCGAGTACTTAGATTACAACAACCAAGTATACAAAAGGACTTGTTTAACACACAGAAAAGACATATGTATTTGTAAGAAATTGTCTGCATGCAGAAACAGATGCGTGTGTTGCTTTGCATGCACAAATGTTAATTTACAATTAAGAAGACAGTTTTGCAGAGTGGGGACAAACACAGAACAATGTGATAATTACAAGCTCTATTAGTCTGAACTAAGATGGGTAACGAGAGCCATGGAGATATGGCAGCACACAGGAGCAACCAGACTTGTCTTTCAGCATAAAACTCGAAACTCCTTTGTTTCTGCTTCGTAAAAAAGCAGCTCCTAAACATAACTTTCAATGCAGACTTCTAGTTGATGCTGTTCTCTTTAACACGACCTGGTAAACAGACACTCGCTAACTCAGGTTTATAGTTGTTATCTTTCTTCTGTAACTCCAAGTTGATGAAAATGAAGAATTTTAATTATGTAGAAAGAAGAAGGTCTAGTTCTAATCCATAAGAAAAGTATGGATGTTATACTTTTCACACTATTTATAGCAAAACCCAAAAAAAAAAACACCTTTGCTCATCTTTCTGTTTCTGTGCAGCCCTGCCCCATATATTCTTGCTAATTCTACCTGTGGAATGCTGAATAGTAATCACCCACTTTTCATATGAGAAATATGAGAGTTAGGTCACAAGGTGTGAATATATCACCTGTTGCATACTACCGTGGAGGAAAGAAAGTTTAGAGAAAGTTTGCAAAAATGTGTTCCATATGAAAAACCTTAATACTCTGGTCAACAGTGAAAAGATGCCATGAGATTTCTGCTACTGTAGTTCAGTTGAAAAGGTTAAAAAAAATATTCAATTGTATAGGAGCTCAGACCTATATTTAATGCTTAGATTAAATCATGCAAACTGGCCATTTTACAAGAACAAGAGCTGATCAGCAAATGATAACCTGACTTTCTGTTCTGATGACTATATCAAAAAAACACAAGGACTGAAGTTTTTGCACCTCTAAATAGAGCTAAAGTCAACATTTTGATTCATGCCAGTACAGAAAATGGAGGAAAGATTGAGAGTTAAATTTGGATTCCACGCTTTCCAAAAAATACAGGACAGTGCACTCCGGCACCTAGATGAGCGCCAGAAAAACAACTAACATGTTAAAGAAGGACTTCTCTTCTTAGATTTGGTCCGTCAGGAAGCGGACATTTCATACAATAAATTAGGATTAACTGGCATAGGATAAAGAATCACAGTATTTTATTGAGAAGAAACCTGCATGCTCTACACTACCTGCTGCATTCTCATTGCAGTGCAGTTCATGCTGATGAAACTGAAAGGTTGTGTTGACTTTTGCATCATATTTCCAAGAAGCAAAAATGAACATTGTTAGAGTATCCTCTGTGTGGCCCCACTTCTTACCTCCATTTTGGACTTAATAACGCTGATTTCTCTCTCCATCTCTTCATGCCTTCGAATCAGGTTTTCCACGCTTTCCACATCTTTCCCGTAATCCAATGCTTGTATTAATACACTCTGAAGGGGGTACAAGGGAGGTGCGAATGGTGAAGATGGTAAAAAACAAAAGGATCATATCTCAATTCTTTCAAATTGTCCCCTTCTCCCCTTCTTTTGATTGCCATATCACTTTTTCAACTGCCTTCTTGAACTTCAGCAGGGCACCTTACGTCTGCACTGTTTACAGAGATGGAACAGGACTTCACAACTCTAAACAGTCTCAATCTTCCTTTACTTAGGGTGCCTTTGGGCATTCACATATAAAACATATAGAAGGAATGTCTCCCTCCACTTCTCAGTTCTTTTCTCTTTTTTCCCCTAGACCAAAATAGCCAAATATTTCCAATTCTGTTGTTGTGTAGAAATTTGCAAGAGCGCGTGTTTCATGAAAATATGGAAAAGAAATGACCCTTAAAATTCTACCAGAAAAAAATCCTGGACAGTTAAGAAATACATTAGTAAAAGTCATTACAAAGCTTTCAAATCACTGGTTTTGTAAGCGAAAGTAGCCCCACTGTATGTTTGCCTACTGACTTATTGTTCAAATAGATAGCACATAGTTATGTGCATGAAATAATTAGTTTTTTATGTAGCATTTTTCTTCTGTTAACCTCAATAGCATAACCAAGGACAGGAATTTCTACCTTCATTTTCTGATAGAGAAAATGAAATACAATGAGATTTTTATATAACTTTTCAGAGTCACATGTATAATATGTTTATATGTCACAGTTCAGTAACAGGGGGAGGTACCCAAGCCAGAATTGAATTAACTCGCTTTGAATTTGGAACAGTACTATAACGTTAGAAGTTGCTATGTTGCTATATCTAAGTAGGTAATTCATAAAAAGCGTTATGGTAGCTTAGCTAATCGGCTTTTGGTATTCAGAACTGACTTGGATGTCTCTGCTCAGCATTGTCTCAAGGAGGTCTACCCTTGCCTCACTAACACAGCAAGAAATAGACCCCAGTTTCTTAGCTTCTTAGATCTGCAGCCTGCTCACTGCATGTTCCTGTGATTCTTCCCTGTGGAAGGGTGTACCAGACCACATGAAAATGTCTCTAATGCAGAGATGCCACTGCCCAATTAGTTTCCTAATTCTCTTTATCACCAATGGAAAGAAGGAGGAACTGTTGGAGCATGACTCATCTCACCTTCAAAAGGACATCTGAAATAGGTTGGACACGCTAAGCTCAAGAAGTACCTATTTCCTTCCACTAGTCAGTGCGAAAGAAGGCCATGGATGACTACCGTGGAAATAGCATTTAGTCACCAATGTAAAAACGATTATTTAATTGGAAATACCATTTGAATAGAGAATATGTGTTAGAATCATAGAATCACAAAAGAATTTAGGTTGGAAGATACCTCTGGAAGTCATCTAGTCCAGCCCCTGCTCAAAGTAGGGCCATCTTAGATCAGGTTGCTCAGGGCCCAGTTCAGCCGAGATTTGAACATTATCAAGGATGGACACTCCACAGTCTCTCTGGGTAACCTCTTCCAGTGTTTGATCACTCTCAATTTGATTTTTTTTTCAGTTATATCTAATTGAAACTTCTCTTCTTGCAATTTGTGTCTACTGACTATCCTTTCACTGTGAACCTCTGAGAAGGGTCTGGCTCCATCTTCTCTGTCACCTCCCATTAGGTAGTTAAAGATAGCATCCCCTCTTGTTGCAGACCTTATCTGTAACTTCTGAAAATATATTTCAAATTTACATTTTTAATACTGCATGCCTTACAGTTGGTAATCTATGAAGTGTTTTGATGATATTTTAGCCATCCTACAAAATCAGTACACAGAAAACTATCAAAGGTCACTGCTGGATACTCTCTAGCCATTAGGCTGCCTGTTTTTTTCCATCTGCTGCCAAAATAGAACCTGGGTGAATGGTAAAGAACATTTTCTCATGTCCATCAACAAAAACGTGAGAACTCACCTTCTCACTAATTCTCTCTGTGATGTCATCGATTTCCCTGATTAAGGCATGAATTTCCAGGGCTCCCTCTAACTTCTTTCTGTATGCATTCAGGTTACCATGGAAACTGTTCCACCTTTTATTGAAAAGAATATTTTAGAGGTGAGGACTTCCACAAATGAGTTTCATGACACTCAAACCTAAGTAAAAAGACTGGATTTCTGAACTACCTTGTATACTGATCCCCACTTCCCCACAGCAGAAAGACTTCACAGAGGCAGAGCATTAGCCTGACAAAATAAATATTCAGCCATCTGGATACATCTATTTTCAGTCTAGACTTTGGAATTTTTAACACTCTGCTTTGAATTAGCAGAAGTAAGACGAACTTCAGGACGACTACGTGGACACACGTAAGTGCCTTAGCTTTGTGGATGTAGTCTGCAAAGTGCTACAACATGGCATATTCACTTCCAAAGCAAAAACATGACCTATGCCTGCTGTATTAGAAAACATTCCAGATAACTGCTAAGGGTCTTGAAAGGCAACTCCATTTCCTGATATTTGGTAGCCATGATGTTAAAGGAGAAAGTAGGTATCCTCCTCTTATCCCAGCCCATTTCAGAGACCTAATCTTCCCTTCCTGTTTTTGCTTTACACAGAAGCTTAAAGACATACTCACTTCTCATTAAGCTGCTTCCGGCGCTGATATATTGTCTTTGTTTCTTCCTTGTTCTGTCTCTCCAGTTTCATGGCCAGGACATTGATAGCCTTAATGTGTGCATCATCCACTGTCATCTCCTGTAAAGTGAGAAAAGGTCTGCGTTCAAAGTGCTTGTGGCTGAGCTTTCCACTGAGACACGAAAAACAGCAATAACAACAACGAAGCAAGTGTTATGCCTCACTACCAAATGCTTCAGACACATTTGCTCTGCTAACATGCTGTTATCAGCGACAGATGAGAAGAGAGTAGAGATAAGAAAGAACATTAATGGCTGTAGATACAAAGATAATCTAGGTCTAGACATGGACCCTCAGAGCTTCCTATCCAGTTCAAGCCTTCCAGCAAGGGCTCAGTTGCGGAGGAAACACAGGAGCAGCTGTTGGTTATGTAAGTGGCTGCTGTGGAGCAGCGGATGTGTGGCAGATCATTCCTCTGTCAAGAAGGCAGTGACTTGTAGCTCCTGGGCCTACACACTGTTTTTCTAGATAGGCGCTGTCCAGAAGTGCCTTCTATACTGTGGACAACAGGATTAAAATCCATACAGCCTTGAGAAACCCAGACAACTCATAAATCTGATTGTAAGATATGTCATTACTTATTCTTCTAAAGCAATATCATTGTATCTTAAAAGGTATGCTAAACCTTTGAGGCATTTTGCTTTGCAAGTACCAGTGTACCATAAAAAGGAAAATATTTGCACATAGCACATATAATTTGGACTATAGTGCACTAGTTGTTCTTTTGGAGCACAGCAGATGGCCAACACTGAACACTGTTCCAGGATTCAAAAACATTCTCTATTTTTGTGAGACCAGTAAATCACACATTTAGCAGAGAGACATCAATCACTGCCGTAGCCAAAGCACAGCTGCAAGATGCCAGCACGCTGTTAAATACAAGCGGTGACTCCACTTGTATTTTATTTATGCTTCGTCCATACCAATATGCACGTTTCCATGTGTGCTTTACTAATAGACACAGCTGTAAAGTAAACAAGAAAAAGCAGCAGACAGAAAGATATTATTTCAACAGAAACCCTGCAGTCTCATCCCCTGGGAACCGGCAGCACTGAGTCAAAGACTGCAAGTAGAGATACTGGCAGCCATCGATGCAGGATGGTTGCTCCCTACACTGATCTCAGATTTGTCTAATGGGGAAACCTAGACTAGTTGGAGGCGCACACTGTGCCAAGGCCAGCCTGTTTGTACCACTCTGTGATGCACCAGCTACAAGGGTATCACAGTCCTAGCCTTTGTCTGCAGGAGTCATGTGAGAGAGGCATAGGAGCGGTGCCTAGAAGCTGACACTATCTATGGCCAAGAGTTTCCTGTGCACACACACCACCTAAGGTCTACCTTAGTTAGTGATAAGACTTTTGTTTGGAGACTTACGCTGACCAGGATATGGTGTTGCTTCTGTCTCTTTCACCATCTTTCTGTTGGGCTACTATGAGCTGTATCAGAGCCCTTGCTCCATCCCTTAGCTCATGGTTCAGCTGGTGACTGAAGGGCCAGTGAAGGGTCTCTTCACTTCACTGATTTCTTGGTGCTGAAGTTTGATTAATTTGGCCCTCTGACCTGATTCAGTGCTAATGCATTTAGCACTGAATTGCGTGGGGCTCCGGAAAAGGAAGCCCAGGGTATTTTCCTAGGTGCCAAGCATCTCTATGCTGTTATTCTGCATAGAAGAGGATTGCCTTCTTCTGCCATTAGGCAACAGAAAGAGAAGATGGTAGCTGCCATGACTGGAACTGGCAACAAGACAAGAGATGAATAGAGAGTAAAGAGAGTATTAGAAGAGAACCTTAGTGTAAACCTCACTCAGTAAGTCCTAATACACCTGTTTCCAGATCTTCATCACAGTTTCCAGGCTAGCAAATCAGCACAGCAATCTTTCCTATGTGAAACTGGGACCCGTTTGTCCACATCCACATCAGTTCATACAAAGGGAGAGGACAAGAGGCTGCTGCATATGCATCCCCTTGATGGATGATCTTATAGCTCTCAGTGTCAGGAGCTGAAGCACGTCAGCAGCAGGCCCCTGCTGTGGCAGGACCCATTCCACAGTGCTCCCAAGTTTTGGTGCCCAGTTTAGCATATCCCACTGGGGGCAAGAGAGGCAGCTGGTGCAAGTCACCACAAAGGAGGCTCAAATCCAGCACAAGAAGATGAACTGTGCAGCTGCCCTGTCACACTGCTGCTATCCAAAGTGTAAACCATTGTTGTTATTTTACTAAATGCCTGATTATTAACATTATGATTCATGACCTACCACACGTGTTGTATCAGCAAAGGCCCTACAAGATTTACGCTTCATTTGGATGAAGGAGTATGTGAAATCTGGCTGTTTCTTGTGACCGGGGGAATGGAGAAATATAGGAGGGAAATGGATAGAGCGGTCAACTTTTTTGAAGGGTTTGTCTGCAGAAGATCTATATCAACTTGCAGATTCAAAGAAACTCAGCTGAAACAAACATTTTAAATCCACTTTTGGGTGGAAGTCACAGTGGTTTGCAGACTTCACAACCCAAACTGGAAGTTTGCTCACTTAAGTCTGAACTTAATTCAGGTGTATGCACTCAGCTTTTCAGCCTTGTCATGCAATCTGAAATTTCAGGTTGCATCAGAAGCACCTGACACCTCTGTTTAGACATTATCAAAGCAAAAGGCACAATGAAAGTCAACAGTAGCTATTTGAATAGCTTACAAAATGGCAATGCTTCCAGTCCCCCTGACCTTTCACCCCCTTGGGGTACTGGAATGGTATTTGCTACGTGGATATGCTGCCGGGCTGAAAAGCTAACTGCTGCTTCTAGTCACATAAGGAATGTAGAAACAGACACAGAAAAACGCCCCTTACCCCTGATGCTGCTCCACGGAACTCATTCAGCTTTTTTGTGAGCTGCAGGCAGTGTTCATAATCATTTCCCACATCACCTATGTTAATCATAACTTCCTGGGGAAAGAAGCATCCAATAGGTAAACATTTAGGCTACATGTACAAGCACATAGCACTCCCCAGTACTTATACTGATGCAGCAAAAGGGATTCCCCTCAGCTCACCATGACCCACCAGCTCTGTGATGTTCTGCCTCTGTAAATCACCACCTTAATAACTATGAGCTTTAGTCCCAACTTTCCTTCCAATCTAATACCGATCACCAAACATAGCCGCTGCATGAAAACTTAGTGGATAAAGTCACTTTTTTTCACGGTTAGAGAGAGAAATTTTCAGATTTGATACAGAATGAGGGTGAATGTCTGTTGCCAAACGCTTGAAGTCTTTTTCATTCTAATTTGCTTTCGTTTCTCTGTTTCAATAGAGACACGCATGAGACCACCACCAATAATCACAACCTCTTTATGTGCACTTTTTGAACAAAAAGATACATGGAAAAACTCCAGAATATTTTTTAGAATTTGTTGAATCAGTTATTCAGTGTTGTTTGTAGAGCACTTCCTGATTCTCCCAGGCAAAAGACACTAAGAAAATATTCCAGAGGGTGACACTTATCAAAAGTTCCTTGTTAAATAATAGGTCTCTAGTGTGCTGCTTGGGTTAAATTCGGGAATCTACTTACCTTCTCCCTGATCCAGGCTTCCACCTGGTCTACCTTCTGGAGAAATTCCAGGAAATCCCGGCTATCCTCCAGCATCTTTCCGCGGGCAGCAACAGCTCTCTTCAACATCTCCCAATGCTCCTGAAGCATGCGGGCTTGATGACGGATCTCTGCTGATTTTGGGTGGCCTTTTGACACAAGGGCTTCTCCTTTCTTAACATTCAGAAGATAGATAGAATCAGAAATGAAGGTCGCTAGTCATTTGTAATGTGATTATTATGTTACATGACTTTTCTAGCAGGAGTCTCTCACTTTTTTAATCTGACCTGCACAATAAAACACTAATGTAAATCCTCATCTCCCAACTAACAGTGCTCAGCTGGAAAGCCTTTACTTCTGGAGGGAATAAAGAACAGTAAACTTGATTTTTCCCCCAGCAGGATGACATTCATGGAGTGGGAGCTCCAGCAGAGGTATTACAAATGCCTGTGCCCTTCAGCTATGTGATTCACCTCTTGAAACTGAACCCAGTTTCAAGGAAAATATTCAGATATTGGGCATGAAATCCTATTCACTTTTTGTAGAAGCAGTCACCCCAGACAAAGAAGAAGTCAGTGGCATCTTCCTATTGGGATAATAAGGAAAGAGGGAAGTTCCCTGGATACAGGGATTAAGAAATCTCCCTATTGTAAATTAACAGCTTTACATTTCCATGCCATTGTAATTGTGTTCTTGTCACACGGGCAGAACTGATAAAGAGCTGGTAAACAAACTACCTGTCCGTTCCATCTACCTGTCCTTTGGCTAGAACCTGCAATATTCTCTAAAAACATTGGCAGAATGTGAGCATTACCTTACTGACAGCTGTGACGATTTCTTCATTTGCTAGAATCTCTGCCTCAAAGACTTGATGTTTCTGCAGCAGCTTCATTTTGTCGTGCAGGTTGCTGGGGTCTTGTATGGAAGGTTCCTCTAGCTTCTGCATGCGCTCACTGATCCAGTCTTCCGCCTGCAGCCGTATGGGCATCAGAGTTAGCACGACCGCTACATGCTGTCCTGGGGCCTTATTCCAAAATATTCCATTGCTTTGTGCAGCTGACTATGCCTGGACTAGGTAGATTGAGCAAGGAACCGACAGTTGAGATTGCTCTTCTGAACTATTCTACTTGACAGGAAATAAAAGCCAGTAGGAATGAAAGTAATTTTTATATGACCACAAGAATAATGAAAAATTCCTTGCATACCCCACATTTTATCACAAGCCAAAAACAGATGATGCAATCTTCTTGAGCAGATATGCAGGCTTAACATGGTAGACACATTTAGGATTAGATTATAACAGCTGGACCTTGGATTTAGGGCCAGCTCCTATCATCTCTTATCTTTACCACTGACCGACCTGTAATATGAGTTAAGATTCTTAAAAATTCTGTACCTCCTCTATAAAGCAGCAGTAACACTCCCCAATTTCAGAGAAGCTGTGAGACCTCAATGAATAATGTGAAGCAAATAAAACCTTATCGATGGGGCCAAGCACTAGTCAGATTATCTGAAACCCAGTACAAATCTGTATTTGCTTCTTCTCTTCATGAAAAATGTTCTAATCAGAAATGCTGGATTCAGACACAGAAGTGAACCTTGAGGACTAACAGTGTAAGCGTTACATGGGGCCATGTTTCTCTTAAGAAAGAATTTAAGATTTGAATGTAGGGGATTTAAATGGAGGGAGAATAAAATAAACAACAGGATAATTAGTCCTCCATAATTTTTCTAAAGTTTGCTAAACTTCAGCCCTCAGCACTGAAGAAAATATTTTCTATCCGTCAAAGCAATGACAACTGAACACTTGACATATCTGGTAACTGATCCTGTTGTCCTCAGATCACTGAAGTACACCAATGTTTTGACTACATAAGAACAGCAAATTGATGCCAACTTTATCAGTTTCAAAGTCTCTCAGCTGCTGTTATGGAACTGCACTAAACGCACACAGGACTTGACAACAGGAAGATTTTCCCTGTTAATTAATGAATTGAACTGTTGTTTCAGCTGTTGAAATTCTGGCTGCATCAACAATAACAGAAATAGCTTTCATTAACAACATAGTCTCCAGAAACCATTCCCCTCCGAAGTACAGTTAGAAACTCAAAGAAGAGCCTTATGTCAAGGTTGCCGAGGACAGCAAACTGTCATCTGCTGTTTTCATTTCTGACGCTCTCCTCACAAGCTAGGGCCTTCTCCCATTACCCAGCCACACATTAACACTTTAAGGACACTTAACTGACTTCTCATTTGAATGGGAGAAGCTACTGGTACAGTCACACTAAGAAATCAATGGATCCTCTGTATATAGCCACTCAAGGAGTGATTTCTCTCCTACTGTCAGTAATAAGCAAGGACTTAATGACAGAAGTGAACAGAGCCACATAATGATCAGTCTTAACTACTTTTTGCTGAAACAAAAATTCTGTTTCATCAATGGAAATAACTAAAGATGACTGCAGGAGGGAGAGTTTTCAAGGGAGTGGGATCTAAGCTATGGGACTTGTTTTCCTAATAAGTAAGAATAAGCAATGACCTCACTGCTTTCACAGCTAAACTCCAAACTCATCTCTGCAATTTAACTTTCCTTTGGGAACTATTTTTGTATAAGAATTTGTACACACCCAGAATGTCATTAAAATGAAATTAAACATTCCATTCCACCCACCAAAGAGGAAGAGAGGTATTAGTGTAAGAGTATTTTTTTTTTTTAACTCCTTGGTGGCATTGACATTCTGCAGGGGTAGGCAATGAATTTAGATTGGCTAGAGAAAAAGGGCAGCTAGTTTAAGAACAAAAACTCTCTAGCGAACCCTTGGCTAAATGAATGAGGAGGATATTAGACGAGAAAAGGGAAATTTTCCTTAATATAGAGGGCAAGATCCTGAGCTATACGTGCGCAATTCAGGAAAACAGAACGAAGAGGATCCAATCCCAAGCATTGACTTGACAATTACAGAGAAACGGAAGGAGATGCAAAAACATTCCTAGCTAATGGGTTGATAGTATCCCTAGAAGGACACTGACAGTTTCTCCACCAGAGAGGATGTTTGCAGCCCTGTGACCTTTCCATCAGAGGCACATTGCTCTTTCGAAAGTGTTGGCACTGTGCAATGCACCATCCCGTCATTCACTCCCTCTGCTGGTCTACAAGGTGGACTGGCTGTGAGGTGGCTTTCCAGTGATAGGAAAAGTATGGCTACATAACACAGGATAATATTAGTGTAGGATAATGTGTAAATATTAATAATATTTACACATAATAATGTGTAAATAATTCTTGATACAATCTATTTAAGAAACAGAGCTCAGCGCAGGCTCTGTAATGTAGCCAAAGAAGAGGGTATTTAAATGTTTGATTACTTTTAGGCGAGTTTCACATATATCATCCTGTAAAAGGAATTTTAGAAGCTGTTTCTTCTTTAGATTACTTTTTTTTTTCCTTTTAATTTGGTTGTCAGCAACAGTTCGCCGTATCACAGGTGTTCCTTTGCCTTTGGTGACAATCCTAATTTGAATGGTGTCAGGACATACGTCCTTTGCATGGGATGGAAGGTGACCAAGCACCTGCAGCTTTTCTTTCAACTGCGGGGGACATTTCAAGGGATGCAGCAGGAGAAGAGGTGCGTTCCAGACCAGTAGGAGTGTTTAAAAATATCCCTTTGGGCCTGCATGCATGTTGTTTATGCCAGCACACGGGATGCTAGCATGTTTTTCAGTCACACACATTGTGCTGCCCTTTGAGAGACTGACCTAGTATGTCTTTCCAACAGTTATGCCAATCTCAGAGCTACTCAGTTACAGGACTAAGGCCAGAATTGGAGAGACAAACGGAGGCTAACCTATTCTGCAGAGATCAGCCTACAGCAGGTGAAGAGCTGTGCTAACTTATAGCACTGGCTTAGAGGTCTTCAGTAAACACTCTCCAGTAAAACTTGGTGCCCTCCCCCATATTCCTTTCCCCTTTGTATCCACCCCAACTTGAAATACCCTTTTTTCCCTCCAAGGGACACATAAGGCAGTGGCTGGCAGTTATTCTTTCATTAGTTTTACTTTAGCAGAGTTCTGGGTGTGAAACAGCTGCAACGGGCACAATGCCATGATGATGGGGTATACCAACAGCAACGGCTTTGGAGCACTTACCCCTTTGGGTGAGTGTGGCAGCACAGGAGTTGTGATACCTGAGTAGATTGTCAATCCTCCTACTCTCTGGCAAGGGCAAGCACTTCATCCAACAGAGGTAGGCAGCTCCCCAACCTTCCACCCCTGTCCCAGTCTAAATCCCTCTTACCTCTGCCAGGTTCTGGTAGAAAAATGCCAGGAGGAGGGCAGTGTGCAGCTTCTCCCTCCTGCTCTGGGATAGATCCTTGATCCGCTGCTTCTTCTCGACGATGGCATTCAGCTTGTGTTGGATCTCTAGCCCTTCCAGTCCACCAGCCTTCTCTAGCTTGCTTGCCTGTTCTTGAAGAGACATCATCTGAGGAGGAAATAAATCTGCAGTCACCTTTGTGCTTGCGAGTGGAGTAAAAGAAATAGCAAAATAGGCTCTTTTCCATACCTTTTTTTGCTGGAAGGAACCAAGAATGGCAGGGATATGTGAGCCATCATTGCCACCCTTCCCTCCCCCTGTACTATGCCACATCTGTGGCTGCATTTTCATTTGCCTCTATAGTGCATCCCAGCTACTTAGCTGAATTAAGGTTTCAGCTACAGGAGCCCTGACCCCTTTGATCATCCAGTACAAGGAGTCATGGAACCAGCCCTGGCATCCATGAGTGCTCCAGTTTTCTTGCTTCGTGGAAGTCAGATGTTGGGAGGTAGCTCTCAGCATGAGCATTCTGGTAGGGAGCTGGCATGGGGCTGGGAGCTCACTCCCATCTGGGATCCCAGGCACGGCCCCAGGTTTGACAGTTTAGACCTAGCTTGGGTGAATTGCGATGGTGGCTGTCAGCCAGGTGGGCTCCTTTAGATTCTGGTGAGCCATTGAGCTTCAAGTGCAAGAATGCTAGCCAGTTTGGTACGGATATCGTATATAAAAGAAATATTAAAATAGTTAGATGAACCATCCCCTCTGATGTACTATATTTTACTTACTCTAAAAGACACAGTATGTCTATGAAAGAAGCAGAAACTTCTGGCATACGTGACACGAAATATGGCCTACTTTTAATGTTTCTTTTGGTAAGTCCCAGTATTTGACTTACTGTGAGGTTTTCCTGTCTACTACAAGACAATACACCAGGAATTGGGCATTGAGTGTTTAATACTTTTCTCCAGTTTTCTGCCTCTTATTTCACTAAGCATCCCCACTCTCTCTTTAGTTCTAGCATATCAGGCTTATCAGACCTGTTAGCAGTTTATTCTATTGCCATGTTAAAAAAAAATAAATCCTTCCACCTCTTGGATTGGCAGAATATTTATTGGATTTTTTTTGTACCTTCTCATCTTGTGAAGCCAGCAGTTTCTCAAAAGCTTCATGTTTCCTGATCAGTCGCTCCACTTCATCTACAGAGCTTCCAAGGTCACTGCTTTTCAAGTAAATCTACAAAAAAAAAAAAGTTGAATATTTTTCTCAGTGGATTAATTATTGCATAAACCTGATTCACACAAGTGAGGAGAGATTTTTAACTCTAGACAGTAACTCTACAATTGAGAGTACACTTGAGAGATGACGCCTGAGGAAAAAAAAGGGAGGGGAACAGAAAGCAATTCAAATTGGAAATGAAATGGTAGAGCTCAATGATCTTTAGCAAGAAAGAGATCCATCAGCAGATCTGCTAAGGAAAGTGCCCTGCCACAGCTTATCACAATCACTAAATGACAAAGCAGACAGTGAATTCCAGAGGTCCTCTAGAACATCCTTGTAATTCAAAGCAAGATAACACCATCATGCCTGACAGATGTCTCTATCGCTTCTTCTTAAAAGACTTGCAATAACAGACTTGGCAGCTTCACCAGGTAATTTATTCCTGTGCTTCATTACCTTTACCATTAGCAAGATTTTTCAAAAATTTAACCTGAAATACATAGCTAACACTTCACCACATTGCACGCTGTCCTCTTCATCACAGAAAGGAGATAATTTCTTTTACGTTTGCTGTAGCTTCATAAACATTTGTAAACAGTTTGCACAATGGGATTTCAGTCTTCACTCAGCTAAACTACCCTGCTCCAGTCAATCATTCCACTAGGCTGTGTCTTCTTGACCTCTGATTATTCTCATTGTTCTCCTCTGGACTTTCTCCATTTCCATTTGTTTTGAGGCAGGGCTCTTATAACCTGCTGCAATACTCCAACTGAGGCTGTCCAACAGTGAGGCAGCACAGAGATTACTTCTGGTGCCTTTCAAGCCATAATCTTCCTCATGCATCTATGTATGGTGCTTATTTTTTACACAACACCATGAACTCGCTGATTCACATACACCTGGTAATCTACTATAAGCTTCCAGAACTTTTTCTGAAAAACTGCTGTTAGATCACCTTGTTCCCTTGCTGTATTTATGCAGCTGATTATTCCTGAAGAATGGCATAACTTGCACCTGTACTGAGCACATAACACTGTTTTGGTTTTTTTCAGTCCATATCTCTGGCTTGCTTGCATTAATTTTATTTACTGTCAATCTCAGCAGTCTCTGATTCAGGAAGACCCCAGTCTAAAATATCAAGGGCAGTTTTAAAGGAACTGACCTCTGTGCTATTAACTTTTAACACTGGCAAGACACTTTCTAATCCATGTGCATCTCTAAGGCACCACACTGTTTGTTGACCGCTTTCCTGATTTTAAGAAAACTGACTGAATGATTATTTCTCCCATGCATTCTGTTACTAGTCAATGTTTGGTCAAATGCAAAATAATAAACAATGTAGTCACCTATTCTCAACAAAACATAAGCTCTTCTGCAGGCCAACAGCAACTTACTCTTTTCCAACGAACATAATCGCCTGCAGGTTTATTTTCCTATTTAATGAAGAGATAATGGCAAGACAAAAACAGTAATCAGTCAGAGGCTCTGATGGGGCATGAGCAAAAACTAGCTGCAGACATGGTTCCCAGTGGAGCAAATATGGCTGGACAGACTTTTGGAGTTCAGGCTGCTACAAGGGACCGGACTTGCAGGCTGCGACATAGCACTCTGTAATCCATTTTGTGAGCTAATGGAATTGTAAGTGTTTCAATGAGGATGAGAAATTCCAGTCAGTAACTCCATCTGGGTAAAGCACAATTAGCAGGGACAGAAGACAAAACTGAGATCAGCTATATAGCACGAAAGAATTAAGAGGCAGGGAAAAAAATAGAACAGAATTAGTGAAAAAACAGAAAAGCCAATATTTTCAGAAGCAGCCTGGTAAAAGCTATAGGTAAATCTGTGCCTCAGAGACATATATCTGCACAGGAAAAATAACACTATCTAGAGAGATCTCTCTTGCTCTGCAAAACATTCCAGTTCTGTAGCAGTCTGACAGGGTGCTTTTTATAGGAGGGAAAAGACGTTCTTCAGCTGCTGCTTTAGAAAACCAGTCACGATGCTAATTATCTGGACAGAGGTACTAGATGACTTTTTAACCCCACACAGCATCTTCTAAAAGAGGTTTACGAGACATGTTGTACGTGCAGCAGGATCCACACCTACCTGTCAGGGCACCAACAGGCCTTGGCAGCCCTGCCGACCCCCTGGCTGGTCCCTCTGCCCCCTGCCCGTGGCCTGGTAGCTCCACACATGTTCAGCCCCGGCCCCAGCCCTGCCGGAGCTGCGTCAAGGGAGGCCTGTGCCCAGCCCTTCTCCTGCTGTCCTGACACGCTGACCGGTCCTCCTGCACGGACTCCAGACCTCACGCGTTACCTCGCCTTGTCACCTTGATCACCAGCCGATTGACGGACCCTGTCACTGGTGCCAACACCACAGACCCGCTCAGTGGCTGTGGCTAAGAGGACGGACAGCCAGACCTGGCCTGACTTCCTGATTCCTTTTTGGAAGCTGATATAAGAGGAATATTTTGCATGTATAGGAAAATGCACCGAAGAATACCGTGCCCAGTCCAGATGTTCAAACTGCACTATGCAGTCCATCCACGATGAGCATTGGAAGAGAAATGAATAAGTGCCATCACTGTAATCATTGTCAAGAAGAAGGGGAGGCCACTGTACAGCAGGCCTAAGGTTTTTATAAGTCTGGCCCATAAATCATCAGGATGCATAAAGAAATACATTATCATTAAAGCCTATTTAATATTACATACAAATGCCACCGGAAGGCAGATATTTTGTCATTCAACCTTTAATTTTTTGATCTATCCTACTCATTAAAGGTATGAAATTAAGATTGATAATTTTTTGGAGCGCTGTTTGGTTTGGAAAGCCCATACCTGCAGGCTGTAGGTCTGTCTACTGCACTACTGTATTATGCCATTTATATTTAACACTGCTGCTGCTAACGCTGAGATAAAATATTATCGGCCTGAATATACTCACTCCTATTTGCAGTACATATTACCCCAGCATAGCCACATACTGTGTCTCTATGTTTGTGTTACAAAAGGTGCTTTAAAGGCGTTGGACTTTCTTTGTCGTGTATTGTGCATTACATACCATCTCTGGCCAAAAAAATGTTTACCTGAGAAACAGAAAATTCCCATAATTTTCCACATACCACTAAAGGACCATTTCCTCAGTAACTGCTGGCAAGGAAACTGCAAACTCTGTGATACATGACGAAATGGTCAGCCCTTAGTTTTCCTGCACACATATCTGTGGCAGAAGAAAAAGCCAAGTGACATCTACTGGAAAAGATGGTCACTTTCTCGGAAAAAATGAATAGAGACGCCCAAGAGCAGGGGTGTGGGGCCGTGAGTCATAATCAGCTGCATAGTTCAGCGCCCCAGCCCAGAGCTGTTGCTGCAGTGGAAAAAGTTCTTCTGCCTTCTAAAAGCCCTCCAAGCAGAAGCCCTTGCAAAGTCAATACTCCTGGGGTCCAGGTTTTAATGCTGGAAAAGAAAACTGGCGCGCAAAGCGCGTATGTTACAGCAGCGGCTATGGCAACGCACTTGGAGGAAAGCAGTCCCAGTAGCACTAACAGGGCTACTTGGAGAGTTGATGGGATAAAAACTTTCCGTTCTGCTTTTAAACAGAAATCTTATTACAGCAATTGCTAGAATCAGAACTGCAACATTTTTTTCATGGAAGCATTTGTTAGACCAATCTGAAAGCAGAATGGAAACTGGCTCCTACGCTACAATGTTGGCCTTTGGCCAATTGTACCATTTTTTTTAGCATACAGAACGGCCTCAAAGAGATCCCCAAACTCCTACTTTGAACATGATGTGTTAATGTCAAATACAAAGCACTGCATAGCTCTCCTCAGGTAACCTACCAGGGTCTCCCATGGCACACAGCAGGTATAATCTTTCTTTCAAGTTTGTTTCTGTTATGAATCATGGCCCATCATCAGGAATTTAATTCTCAGCCACAAAAGCACTGAAGACTTGACCGCTCACTATATAATGCACTTCTTAAAAGAAGACTTGCAAAGGCACTTAAAACCACTAAACAGACTTGGCCCTTTTTTGAGGTCTAAAATGGAACATGTAACAGATACCCAAGTTACCAAAAATGCAAGCACAGAAACAAACAGTGGTTTTGACTCTACTTCAAATGAAGTTTTTCACTATTTCTGAGCTCACTGTGTAGACTCAGCTGTGCTGTCATTATGATAAGGCCTCCTACATAAAAGTTAATGCAGAATTAAGTAAAAAGTCCATCTCAAAACAAATATTCATTTTAAACAAAATGGTTTCATATACATATTTACCTGACAGTATGGGCCAGCTCTAGCTATTACAGAAAGGCTGAATGAAACATTTTACTCATTAGGATAACTATGTTCTCTGGATGCCACAACTCCACATTCATACAGACAGATTGGAAGCTAACATAGCCCCGAAAGAAATTTATCTTCCAAGAAGTGTCATTTTTATTTCTCTAGAAGAAAAACAGTTTTAAGCATTTGTGCGAATCCACTCCCTTCTCCAGCTTCCATTCTTCACAGTGTAACAAGCTCCACATATTTTGCCCCCCACTGCCTGTCCTGGGCTTGCTGCTGAGATTGTTGGAACTTCAGTGAAAAATCTTTCAGCATGTATCAAAGGCCAGAAAAAGTCAGTTACTCCTAGATTCAAAATGTCTTTGCTTAAAGCATGCAATCGAATCCAAATACTCTGGCAAGGTAGGTGGCAATAACAACAAGGTTTGATTTGACCTTTTTCTCATAAATGTCAATACACAAAAACAATTTAAAAAACAAATAAATTTGTTTTAGCAGAGTAAATACATGGGCTTAATACCATGATTATATATAGTTCACAATTATGTTGTACTATGCTGCATTTCAGTTAAAGGTATGGTTACAGTATTGTACCTTGTTATAAGTGGAATAAAACACATCAAGTTGTTTGCAAAAATATATACACCTCTTCTATCATACTGATACCACTGTGTTGTTGGCCTCCGACCTCACAATGTTGTTGAGGAATTCTTATGTTACAT